GGCCGCACTTCGAAATAACCTGGAAATACGCTCCACAACGTGCGTATTGCGTCTTGCTTCGACCTGCGGTGCAGTGTAGACGCACCTTGACGCCCACCAAATACACACAGAGCATCGTGCGCGTTCGTGGACACACCCTGCTCCCTCAGTGGCGACGGTCTGGAGGCCGAGTCAGGGAAGCGAGTTTGAAGGACCCGAGTGCCGAACCGATTTCCTGTTCACCGGTTATACTGGCAAGAATTACCCTGTGTGCGGCAGCCGCCGTCACTGGGAGCACACCCCGAATCGCAGGCCTGCACACAAGTGGCGGAGGCGTTCTATTGTTAGACACACAAGAAGGCCTCGGGGGGGCGTAAAGAGCATCCCACAGCATTCTCTCAGCCTCGCTTCTAAATGCCAGCACGTTTGCGTACAATACACCCGCACAGCATTCCCACTCCTGTGCTAGCGGCACCTGCAGCGCAACCCACACAGGCATTACCAGATTCCTTCCCACGACACTGGCCTGGGGCCCCCTACGTACAAGGGGGACCCCGCAATGAGCCACGGTACCGAGCCGAAAGCGTGTTTCCTCGGGACGCAGGTGCTCCCGCCGCGGGAAGGCCTCTGATCCGCCGCCTTTCCTCTCCATGCACACACACAAAGCCTTGTCCGAACTCTCGGCATCTGCAATCAGACTCCCAGAGCATCCTCCCTTCTGGCTCGGACACTCCCCTGGCTCCCACCAATTCAAAATGCCGCCAAGGAAACTTTCGTGGCTCCTGGCTTGGGCCAGGCCACCTCCCTCTGCCGGCTTCCCCGCTCTCTGGCCAGCATAAAGCACTTGCCTTCACTTTCAAGGCCTTTCACGGGTCTCTCCTCCCTACCCATCATCTCTGATTCACCAACGAGATGTCGGCTCCTGTGTCCGCCTGGCCAGCTTTGCCGGCCTTCATCGCCCATGCGCGAAATCTTCAGACAAGCCCCTCTGGGCTCTCCCCCATGCTGCCCCTCCCCAGGCCAGTGCCCGCCGTCCAGCTCTCCTTTGCAGTGAGGCCTATGACAACCCCACGACCACGCCTGACCTTCAGTAGGTGCAGCTGCCCTTTCGCTGGGTCTGTACTGGGCTCTCGGTCCAGCACTGCGGCTTCCAGCTACTATTGCATTGCAAACAAACTGGACAGACAGGCCGGCCAGCTCAGACGCTTCAGAGGGAGACAAACTTCCCATCATGCACCCAACCAATGGAGAGCAAGCCACAGAAAGGGAAGCTATTTTCTTCCTGCCCCCCGAAGCAGGGAGCCTGCAAGCCTTGAATTGGACCCTGATGGCTGTAACTGACGAGGCTGTTAGCTTCGAAGTTTCTGGCTAGTGTGTTAGTTTCTGGTCCCACCACTGCGTGACTGCACCTCTACCAAGCAGCCTTTCAGAACTGCTAATGCTAAAGCCAGCTTCTACTCTTCGACAGTGACCTGGAAGCCCTTCCCCAGACCGTACAGCGGCAGCCCACAAGAACCTCCTCTCATGGGTAATCACTGGGTTCTGGTCCTATTGCGGCTGCCTTCCGAACTGCCCGCTTGGGGGGGGGATGCGCAGCAGCTTCTGAAGCTGCAGTCTTTTGTCTGACTGCTGCCCACGCTCAGAGAAGCTTTTGCAAGAGAGAGAGCAGCAGCAGCAGCGATTTCCCCAGAAAGGAGCCCAGCCCAGCACAGGTTACGTGAGCAGCCTCGGAGACCACCACAGAACCTGGCAGGCCATTCAGTGAGTTAGCCACATTCCTGGCGCAACACTGCACATGTGCGTTGATAAAACACGACTCCAACCCCACATTCGCTCTCCTCCCACCCTCCCCGAATCAGCTGCCTAGTTCCACAACGCCTGGGTCAGATTCTGCTGGATCACACGTTCTAGAGTAGGGATGTTAAATAGCGAGTAACTGACTAATCGAATAGTCGATGCCTTAGGGCTGTTGCTGCACTTCAAAGGCATAAGTGCTGCATGGAGCCGGGGTCAGCTGGGGACTCCCCTGCTGACTTTGGGCTCCACGTGGCGCTGCCGCTTTGAAACGCCGCGGGGAGCCCGGCATCAGGCTCCTTGCAGCGTTTCAAAGCGGCAGCGCCACGTGCACACGGTGCTACTGCTTTGAAACACTGTATGCAGCCCGGGGACACCTCTGGCCCCGAGCGGCCCCCAGCGTTTCAAAGCGGCAGCACCATGTGGAGCCCAAGGTGTGGCCTCAGGCTCCACACGGCCCTGCCATTTTGAAGTACCCCCACCTTTCCTCCAACCCTTGCTGCCTCTTTCTGATAGAGGCAGCAAACGGGCAGCAGCGGTTAGTCGACTAGTCATTCACATCCTATTCCAGATGCCCACTTCACGCTCTCTGAACCAGCTGGGGGGCACTGTGGACCAAGATTTTCAAACCAGACTGGCGATTTCATTGGCTGAAACGCTGGCTCCCAGCTGAGACTCTGCAGGTTGGACTGGAGTGAGAAATGACTGAACACCCAGCCTTGAAAATCAGGCCCCTTAAAGGAAGTTCAGGTTGGCGACCCAAAAACGGAGCTGCCTCAAATCACTGGTCACTTTTGAAGACCTTGGTTTTGGCCTGTAGCATGGTATGGACAGCACTGCCTCCAGGGTCGGATGAATGCCTTTGGGTGTTAGTCGTCCGATCCGATCGCTCTATTCGGGTCATGCAACGCAGCAGCCTCCTTGGATGGAGGATGCCGTCCCATTTCCCACCCCCTAACTTCTAATGCTGTGCTCATGACATGATGACAGCTGACGTCAGAGGCCCGTTCACAGGACAGAGATGGGTGCTGATGGAGAGCTCTTTGCTTGGTAACACGTTTGCCGTCATGAATGAGCGTTGATGGAGAACACACACGCACGAGACAGGTAAACCGACTTACCGAAACTTTACAAACATATTCAAAGTCCAAGCGCTCATTTTTAAAGGCTCTAATTTTATTTTGAACATCAGACTGGCAATCAATTCTTCAACCCTCGGTGCTGACAGTTACCAAACTGGCTTCTGCTCTGCCGCCGCGGCGGTCCAGGATGGAGAGAAGAGAAGGACTCGCTCAGAGTACAAGGAACCGCAAGGCGCCCCGCTCTCCCGTGGCTATTCTGACAGCGGAAGAGATGCCTCCAGGAAGACTGAGGCATTCCCATCCAGCACGACAGCGCTGGAGTCCAGCTGAGCTCCGCTCGGAGAGCAGCCGCCACAGCTCTCAAACGGGAAGGCGGGAAGAGCCAGTGGCTGGAAACAGGACTTCAAAGGGAGCAGAGTGGCTCAGAATGCAGCCTCCTTGCTTGCCAAGAAAAAGCTTTCCTTTGTGCGCAGTCCCCTCCCCGCTACAGAACGGGGACGAAACCATTCAATGAAGTCACTTGACAAGCCGCAATTCTCCCTCATTGGTTTCTTGCTGCTTCCTGACACTGAACGAGCACTAGTCCTTCCAACGCCGCCTGCAACCCACCCAGAGCGAGACCCGCTCGTAGCCAGCTCGGACACCCGCCTCATCTAGAAACGGTGTCACAACAGATCGAGCGACCTTGGCACTGCTCTACCCCAGACCTGGTCAGTCACCCTCATCTTCTCT